CTCTCCCACATTCTCATCCACATTATTTGTATATATCATGTTAATGTCCTTCAGAGGATGAACACCCTTGGGTAGACACCACGAATAGGGTGAGTTCATCACCCAACTCAGGACCTGGAAAGCTGGTGATCAGATTTCTCTCCAGTGCAACATTTCAGGATAATTGCCCTGGACGTCCTAAGAACAGAATGACCAACACAAACTTAGATTTATATAACATCTTTTAGGTAATAAAATGTTCCAAAGCACTTCACAGGGGTATTATAAAATAAATCATGTGACAGTACAACATGAGGTGGAGATCTTAAGAACTTAGAGCTGCAGCAGCTGAAGGCATTGGTGCCAATGGTGATGTAATTGAGATTTAGATAGGGAGGGACATTTAATGCTAGCCCAGACAGCATGCTCCAACCCCATGTCCCAGATACTGAGACTACTTGCCAATGTCTGCACACTCACCAAATACCAACAGGCTGACTTGATTGTTCGTTTACCCAACACTGCCACTAGGAGGTGTAGCAGCCTTTAAAATCCAGTTACCTTGTTAATTCAGATTTTAATCTTGACCAACAATGCATAACTGAAATGATTTTCAAAACTGATACTTTACACATGTTCTCGAACGTTCATTGTATTTCCCAGGCCTGTTATCACACACTGTATGAGACCGGCAGACAGAGCCATATTAGGAATAAATTAAACGTAATAATCCTACAGCAGCTGCAGTTGTAGCCTTCCACACCCTAAACCAGTCAAATGTTACCAGACAATTTAAAAATGTCATTTCACTGCCAGCTGTGAGTCTTGTTTCATATTTATATGTATCTATCTATCTGATATGTGTGCGTGTGTGTGTGCAGGAATGAATTCCCATGGAAAAGGACCACAAGCCCAAACTGCAGCTTTCGAGGTGTTCTTAAATCCTCCCTGCTGTTACATTGCAAGTGTACAGATTAAAAATTTCACCTTGGTTCATTAGAAAGCACACTCACCTTTGAGTCACAGTGCTGTCTACTTCAACTCCATTCCAAAACTTAGCATGAACAGCAGGTTGTTGCATTGTCGGGGGGTCAGTGCTGAGGGAGTGCCGCACTGTCGGAGGGTCAGTGCTGAGGGAG